AACTTCCAAACTAAGGGTAGCCAAAAGCTTCAGTACCCTTACAGCAGAAGGTATCTTATACAGTTCTCAAAAGTCATTTTTCCAATACTGAAACAATCTAACGTTAACTGTTACCTAGTTTGTTAACCAAAACTGCTGATTATTTCTGTACAATTCAAAAGTTACAGTCTGAAGAACTTTAACTGTCTTTACTGCTGAAAACTATTACTTGAACAGGGCACATTCTTTAGATTCACATCTACTTGTGCCACTATTTCCTCAAGCCTTATTCTTCAAGTTTAGATAATACATATCCATTTACAACAGTAGCAGAACAAATTGGAAATCACAACAATTCACATTCTTCAAAGATGCTGGCAAGTCCCAGATCCCCTAGCTTGACAGTCTTGGTATAAACAGGCTGCTTTTCACACTGGGCTGTACTTAACAGGAAGGGAGGTGAGCTCTACCTTAAGACTTAAGCAGGAAAGAACAGAAGCAATGTTGGACTGCTTTTGTAATCAGGTGAACAAATAGAATAATTTTATGCTCTTCATTTAAATCCACCCAAGTTTGTTTTCAAAGGAAAAAAGAAAAAAGAAATAAAAACAAGCACAGAAAGTCTCTCAGTTCTGGGAAGGCTCAATAATAACCAGCCACTTTCATGGCTTACCATTCCTGCATCAGGGCCAACTGACGTTCAAGGCTTAAACTCAGAGAAGCAGGTTGCCATGCATACAACAAACATTACATTATGCTTAAAGATCTAGATAAGAACTGCAGTTTAATGTCACACCAGTTGCCGATTTCTACTTTTCTGCTAAATCAGAAATCCTGTGTAACAGCAGCTCTCAAATAAGTGGGTTCGTTATTAAACATGACACAGTACACAAATGGAATATCTAAAAGCACCTGGTCAGAGAGTATTAGATTCTAAGGCATACCAGCATTAATCATACTTAGACATGTGTTTCCAATCCACACCAATTTTTCCTGCAGTAACTACCACTTAGATTCACAAATACTGATTTCCTGTGATACTAAGGGGAAAATGTTTTTGATATAGAATTCATTTTGCAGGAAACCAGAAGAGACCATGTCAGCTGTCTTTGTAGCATAAAGTACCTTCTTCACGTTGTTAAAAAGATGTGATGTACATCCTGCAAAACAGGGAGAAAAATACTGGACTTCATCTCTGCCACAAACTGGGTAGTACATAGATCGCAAACATCCACAGTTGGCATTGCATGGCGCTGTTAAATTATATAGTGTGCCTGTTCTGAAAGGTAAAAGTTAATGGGCTTTTAATAAAGTAATTTAAAAACACAAGCTATGTAAATAAGTAATGCAGTATTTATAGGATAATAAATCTCAAAATTCAATTCAGGTGATTTCTGCACTTAATTGTTTAAAAACAAGCCACGTTCCTAGTAGTTACAACTCTAGAGGCAATTCCCATTTATTCTGTACCTACTTATTTTTGTGCTACTATTACCTCCATAGATTATTCCTCCAATTTCCATTCATAAAACAGATGACAAAATTCTGTGTCCCAACCCAATTCTTATATCCTCTCCTCTCTCCCACACACTTGCACACTTGAACTTGTTCAATTTACAGTTTTAAGAAATCATGCAACAAGATTAAAAGCAGTGTTTAGTGATTCTACTGATCATAAGGGTTTTTTTCCTGTTTTGGATTCAAGTCCAACACATTTTTACTATTTTTAACACTGCTATGCAGACATGTAGATTGTTGTAGCACCAAGACAATTGTACATGCTAAATGCAGAGCAGTCATGACATACAAAGTCTTACCACACTCAAAAGGAGCTTAAAGATTTTCCCTGGCTGTTTAGGGAATAACTAAAGAACAGAGTTTAATTCCACTCTTGCTTACTATAACCATTCTCAATTTAGTAATTTACTTCCAGTATAGGCCATAGTATGGTTGTATTTGAAGTAGTCTCACTATATTACTAACATTAAAAAAATCTGTTTGGGATGTAGGGGAGTCTTCTTAATATATAATTGGAGAGAATAAAAACACCCTTTGATTTTCTAACAGTAGTGCGTATAACAAAGTAAAGAAGTAAAGAAGTTTCACAGGTTAAGAGTTCTGTTAAGTGAAACCAGGATACTGATATTGCCAGTAGTTTAAACATTGTCCTGTAAACTGAAAGTTTCAGATTCATTACGTAAAAGGTAAGTTTCTTCAAGAGAATTTAAGACGGTCACAGATAAGAGGATATTTAATTACTTACATACAATTTAAACTGCACATGGAATATTAAGGACGTAACTACCTATATACCTCATTTGGTTGTAGTACAGTTGAACCCTACTAAGTTACATTAGTTCATTCTTCGTACATAGAAGAATCAAAGTTAGTTCACTCTGGCTTAAAGCACTACAGCGCACCACAAGCAAATTCACTAACACCACAGGTTCGTTCATGCAGTGCCTTGTTAGCCTATGAGGCCTGTCAAGCCTACAAGTATTCAATCAATTCAATGGCAACACTTGTCCTGTTTACATGTGCATGCAATATCCCTTTTCCCTGACCTACAAAGAAGGACTGAATCTTTAGTTATGCATGGTCAGAGAAATATTAAAACACAGAAGAAATACAGTTTAGTGTACATAGGTTCTTATGAAGTGGAAATTCTTGTTCTAACATCATTTTTCTAAAAAAGCCTAGTAGATCAGGTCATTAAATGGTCTTCAAAAGCACTATAGGTTGGGTATTTTTTCCACAGCAAAACAAAACACCATATTACCCAGAGATTTGTGGTAATGAACAGAACTACAGAAATAGTCACTGCGTTTCTGTTCCTTCAAGTTTTCAAGGAAATACTGGACAAGAGAATTTGGCAAAAACAATTATTTGAAGTGTTTACTAGATGGAGTAAATAACATTAGTTCTGCTTATAGCCTAATTTAGTAATCAACAGAGTTATTACAAACAATACACTTTGTTCATTAACATATGAACTCAGAAGTGATCTTGCACCCATGTGGTTCTGGTACTAAACTTACAAAAGCTTTCCCCACTCCCCACACCTCAAGGCTATTTTTCAACAGAGAATGCTTGCCATAATGGATTTCTTTGAAATCCTCCACAAAAAATGAATCTGAATCAATTTCCAAGTCAACTCTCAGAGCACTCTCCCAATTTGTTCTTTCAGAAGCATTTGTTCAATAGGATAAGTGGAATCAGATACTTGGCTATTCTCCTACAAGCTTATAAATTTGTTAAAGCTACTATTGAATATTTTAGTTGCTTACTCCTTCATGGAAAGCAGTTTCAGAACTGGCACTATATTAGTGCCACTAACTATTCTGATGCAGGTCACACATACAACAAACTAGAGTCCAATATGTATCAGCAAATTAGATAGAACTGAACCATTTTTATAATGGATACTGAATGGAGAGAGTTATTTCAAGATTGGTTAACTCCAAATTGCAGTGGATAAGAGGTCTTCAGCAACAGTTAAACTACGTATTGCCCATATTACACAAAACTATTAAATACAAGTTAAATGCATTTAACTTAGGATGAAAAACTTTTTTTTCTCCCAGTTACCAGTGTATTAAATTTGGTTTCTCCATTTTGTATGCCTTCTGGAAAAGGAAATACAAATGAATGGTTAAGGTATTATGGCATTAAATTTCTACTGTTAGAGAACTGGAAGCCTGACGGCTTTTAAGCCCTCTGAATTTCTGCCCTGTTAACCCGGGGTCATCTATTTTACTATTTTCACATTTACCTAAATGAGAGACCTGAAAAATATCTGGCTAGTTTGTCATGTCACTCTTTGCATTTTCAGGAAAACTTTGTAATATTTTACAGTTATGTCTATGTCAATAATTCCCTTAAAGGACATAGGAAAATCAGCACCCTATTTTTGCACTTAGTTGCCTCTGAGTAAGAGCTGATTTTCCTGCATTCTTCTATCTGTTGTATGTTCATTTTAAGTCAGTCAAAAGCATGATAAATATCAAGTGAAGAAACCATATAAGCCTAATGGTTGATTAGGTGTTTATCTTTTTTTCTAAAAGTATTACCAACTTGCATGTGCCTTAGAGGCTACAAAACTGATTTTCCCCTCAAACTCATTTTCTGCATTTTCATAGGGTACTTCATGCAACTATGACAGTAAAGTGCAAAGATCCTCTTGCCCATCCTATCTCGGTTCAAGTACGTTTTGATGAATTGGAGCATAACATACAAAAGTAGAAATCTGTAAAAGACATGGGTACCCAACCCTTTTCTAAGATAGAGGATTTGGGAAAAACATCAAAAAAGTATTGATAAGTCATTCACCCCATTGCACAGCATACTGCTCATGCTTATGATTTTTTTTTTAAATGGCAGCTAGCAGTCCCTAGCTACCAGCCTACTAGAGTTATTCTGCACAACAGCATTGTCTCTTTGGCAGACTCTCAAACAGCTGGAGCTGCCTCTGGCTCTGTCAATTCATGACAGCACAACCAACCACTTGAGAGGACAGTTTTGGCACAGTTAGCTGCCTTCTTTCAGCTTTTAAACACTGCTCATGCTACAGAAATGCGTACTATTTAAAACTATGAGAATTGAAATATTATATTATAGTTAGTTCCCTAATAAGGCATGATTGGGCGTTTTAAACAACACAGTGCCTACGCTGGTAATTTGATCGCATACATTCAATGCTGAAGTTTTAAAAGTGGACCTAGAAATCCAATTTTTTAAGAATGCTTATCCTTATAGCTATTTATTTTTCATCTTGCTTCACTTTTTTGTCATTTTTCTGACTTTTTTTCCCAGTGCCATACTGGTTTCCATAGCAAGCTTTGCTCATGGCAACAGGAAGAACATTTATCCTAGAATTTTTATTACAATTACTATAAACACCTAAAAATGAGTGATAGACTGCATTCTCATTAGTAATGAGAATTGTGTTGTTTCAAGGGAAAGAAAAGGTACATTGTTTAGAGAAGTCTTTCCTATACATGTTAGCTAAAAATACTTTAAATTGTTTCAGTTAACCATGTTACTCCACCCATTTTATTCTTCAACTTGGGTCACTGAGCTATGCTCTCTTTGCATTAAATTTCTATCACCATCAGCCATTTTATCATGAAAGAAAAGCTTCCTTTGTAAAGGGTGGCTAGATATGCCAGAACCTGATGCTACAATAACACGTTTGTTTTTCTAGGGAAAAATTTGTGATTGGTTTAAGTTGCACTGCACCTCAGTGCTCTTACAAAATTGTTGCACATGGCAGACTCCCTCCAGGAACAAACAGCTCAGATTGTGATGAGCTGGTTAACAAAACAAGATACAAAAGACACGTCATTTCTACAGAGATACAAAATCAATGGTAGTCAATACTATTGTTACCAACTTAGAATGGTCACAGAAGCTGGGATTTCTGTCTAGCAGGTCCTCTGCTCAGAACGTTTTGCAGGCAACGTATCATTACATTTTCTTAATCATCTTAAATAAAGATTCCAAGAACAAGGTTTTAGAGTTCCATAAAACATTTCAGTTTCATACATCAAAATGACATTTTTAAAACTTCTGTATTCTATGACATACCTTATTTATTTAAAAACATTAACACCAAGCCCAAGAGTGCATTAAAATATATTTACCCATTATATGTTTCAGAGACACCTGCGAAAGGTTCACTCCCACATTTAGCAAACAAAAACACTGTGTTTAATAGTAAGGCCACTGAACAAGTGCCTATCATGAACTTGATTATGCTTTTGCAATCCATTTTGCACTTGGAAACAAAGATGCCACTTATGATTTGGCCTAGTGCTGCTGCCGGAATTAATACAAGCCCTAGAGTAAAACAAGACACCAGAAATTACAAAAAAATGCAAGATATAATTAGTTAAGCAATTTAGAGTGCAGTTTTATCTTAAGAAAAAACAAATCACAACAGTTATCTGTATCTTAAGATGTAGCCCATGTGATGTCATTTTCAAACCAACCTACCAGAATCTGTCAGAGTAAGTTATTCTATCCTTACATAATTTTTAGCCTTTCCAGAAGTTCAAGTTGACAGCATAATTTATAGCTGTCCAAAACTCAAATTCAACACAGGAAAACTGGATTACTTAAAAATACTACATACTGGGCAGGAATCTCTGAACATCAGTAGGCTGCTTCACAAAAACAGAAAATGCTCTTTCATTGCTTCAGTATTTTTTTCATTCTTTGTTATACATTTGTGTTATGAACTTTTTAATAAGAGAACATAATCACTATTATACAAGAGACAGCACAAGATAAATAAGGCATCTACAGAAAGATTTCAAAGAGTCTAGATCAGTGGGTCAGTTTTGCTGTCATAGTCCATAGTGATTCATCTTCTTTGCACTGTTAGGACTCCAGATACATAACTGAGTACTCTTACTTGGCTAATCTACAACATAACACAGAACTCAGTGTAACTTGCACTGACCCAAGACAGCTAATTTTAAAGATAGTTCAAGTACAGCAGCAGAACTGCACAGGCCACAGATGCCCATAGTCAAAAGTAGTTTAAATAGTTAATATGGTCATTAGTAAACAACAAGCTTACAGTAGCTAGGTCAACATTACTTCCAGTACACCAGCTTTCAACATTAGTGCAGGCGTTTCTTTAAAGCTGTGTATTTAATTAACATTATCAATATTTTCAACTCAAAAAGAAATTCAGCCAAGGCCTGTAGACAAAAACCAAACATTCAGCTTTCCGCTTCACTACTGATTACTGTTTAACAATTAGGCGTATATTTCAATGTATTTTTACGTAAAACTTGCAGATACTTTGTTTTGAAGCAATGATGTCTGAATAAGGATAGTACTATCTAGTATTATCCAGGGGAGTAAGGCATTCAGAAGGTCTCTCCCAAAGACATTTGTTGGAGAAAGAGCACTTCAACTAGTATATGCTTATACTGCAGCACTATACAGCCAAAGTAATTTAGCAAGACATGTTCTAGAAATACTAAGTCTGGCATACTGCAAGCATCTCTTGGCCTGTCTGCCTTGATCTGGATGCTGTCCTTCAGACATAGTTGTGTCAGAGTTGATCATGTGACCCAACCTAGTGCAGCTCTTCCATCGGATTTTTCTATTTGTTTCTTCAGTATTCAGTTTTTCATAGCCTTTCCCCATTCTACCTATTACTTCTGCATATCAGATAAAAGGAATATCTGACAGTAAGACAACTACAAAAAAAGTTACTCAATAGCTTTATAATATATTCTGATTAGTCGTTTTATTGTTAAGTTATCTCACTGTAACGTTATGGCGGAATTGAAGAAGAGAAAGACCAAGTCAACTCCTTAACTGCTTTTTTCCAGCTGCCCTTCATCTTACTTCCTTTAGTAGGGACTAACACTTAATGCTCCTTCAGCTAGTTTTAAATGAGGAAAATTCAATATTTTTCACCAAAAATAAGAAAGGAATAAATTACAGTTTCAGCAGCAAACAAAATTCTCCTTCTAATTTGAATATGAGTATCAAGTCTTCTGAATTTTACAGACGAGCAACTTTGAACTCTTGATGAATTAAGTACCAGGTTTTTCAAGCAGGCAAGAAAAATACAAAAATACTGTTTTTGCTGTGAAAACAGCATTTCACATAAGTATATTCATAAAAACCTCAGATAAACACCAGACGCATATATAAGCTCCCACCTTAATATTAATGACGTGTTCAGGATTCAGCACAATATAGTTAAGATTTAAATATGAAAAGCCACATTACCTCCAAGAGTTGCTGAAAAACTTGATGTCTTTCCAAACTGATTTTCTATAAACTTTGGCAGAAATGTGGCAAAGCCAGTGGCCACTAAAGCTTCTGAAGAACTGGCTATTATTAGACTCATAAGCACTGGATTCTTCAGCAGTATCTATTGGGGGAAATTAGCATAACACTCAGGAAATTATTTCGGTGTACTACCGAGCAAACTAGAATGTATATAGAAGTCACTGTATTTTAAAGGTGATACTCTCATGCGGACCTTCACTAATATGCTCTTTTTTCTGTAACAATCTTAAGCATCAAAAAATGAATATGCATTAAATTGTCAGTAGTACTGGAGACTTCCCCATCACAACACAATAAAGAAGCAGTCCTCTTTCTAAACACGTATTATCTGAAAAAGAATTTTATCTCTCAGAATACATCAGTTTTAGTAAATTCATTATTTCCTTACCAGGAGAGCCACAGGAAAATCTTTAAAACTTTTCCCAATATTCTTGTTCTCAACAAGCACATGACTTCCATCATTATGAGTCTCAGAGACTTTTTCAGCCTGTAGTTTTGCTGTTCCTACAAATGGGCATATTTGTTGACAATGAAAACATTGAATACTTACACTTTCAGACTTAAAGTCAGAAAAAGCATCAAAATGTTTCCTTTCCTTGGGAAAAATAGCTCAGACACTGTAAGTCATCTTCAATATTTTATTGGTACAGATCCATAAAAAGATCAGTAATGTATTGCTGCAGAAAGAAGAATTTAGCTGAAAGCATCACGCTTCCATTGGAAGGCCTTGACTGTAAAAAGATACTATCAGGGATATCTTAAGAATTTCAGGCTATTCTGAAGCTTATTCAATTTTTCTTTCCTTTTTTTTTAATTGTCCTTACATTCCCCCTAGTTCCCTACTTCATTGTTTCTTTCCTTCATCCCTTCTCTTTCCACATAAGCACAGTAAGTTCCTTTAGATGCTCTTCCAAAGGACTTCTAGGTAATACCTGCCTGAATAGAAGTTATATTAAAGTTATTCTTTTTTGAAGACTGCTCTGGGGTACTTTGATTCATGCTGTATTATTCCACCTAAACCAACAAGGCAATAGAGTCAAAGACAACTATACATGAGTTAAGTCAATTTAATTTCCTTATGTTTCCTGGTGGGTTAACATAGAAGCTTTATGTGCAGTCCTGGGTGCTTAGCTGCAAGCATCTTCCAAACTTTGATCATCAGTTTCCATGCTCTGCCTGTTTCCAGACCTACCATACCTCATTACATACACAAGATCCTCCCTCTAGCCCATTTGCCTTGTTTCAAAGACTGCGTATTAGAAACACGGTATTTATTAACAGGTTTTAGCCAAAGACAGTTAACTGAGAAACAGAATCAAAGAGAAATCAATCACCCAGCCCAGCACTCACAAATATAGACAAAACTCTCTTCTAAAGTAACCCATTATTGCTAAACATTTACCTGGTAAGTGTTTTGGAAAGCATGAGAAGGGTATGATAAGAAGCCAAATTGAAAAAAAGCATGCAAGAAATGGTATCCACCATGCTCCAAGCCAACGTGGGTCATCTTGATCCATCTTTGTACTGGAAAAATAATTTAGAAAAAGCAGGTTTACCATTCATGAAATCAAATCAGCAATTTCAGATATGATTGAGCTGGATTTTTTTTTAATACTAATTTAACAGAAAGCCTTTGAATATTATCATTTGCTTGTTTTCTATACCTATTAAATTCATTGTTTGCTTGTTTAAAGCACGTTCATCAGCTCTACTATAATAACTGCATGCTATCAAATAGAGCTTTCAATTCATTAGTCAAATTCATTCTAATTTAAAGGCCACTATCTGGCCCTGTTTTTCAAGAACCTGTAGCATTATTAAGATACTGAAAAAGCTGTTTTTAGAAAGAATCTTCATAATCAATTAATTATGTGAAAGCCAATACAGAAGTTCAGAATGCCATTGCACTGATGCGAGTCCCTAAAGCACAGGAAATAAAAGTGTAAATAAAGTTGTTGGTTTGGACAGTAGTACAATTAAAAACATTTTTTTGAATAGTGGACCATTACTCAATTAGTATATTTTCTAGTGAGCTCTTCCCCAGGAGGTAAGTGGCAGTATCCTACCCCTCATATCCCACCTCAGTGAAACTTTGTGCACAAGAAATCAATAGTTGCAATATAACCCTAAAAGAGCAACTAATCAAAACAAAGCATTTTTTGTTAAGCAGCTTTAGAATAGCTAATATCTCAAAAAGCTAAAACTAAGTATTTGCACTACAGAGAAACTTTCACACACAATGGACTGACTACTCACTGTGGGAACTAACTCACTTGCTAGAAGCCCCTGTGAATTCAACTTTTTACTAAGTTAAAGAAGTTCTTGAAAATGCAGTATTTGCCAAACAAAATTACTCAATTTTTCCTCCTCAAATGGAGAAAAGCTGGAGATTTGAGTAAAAATTATTAGGAAAAGAAAATAGAAAGCAAAAGACTAAGTTGTGTCTTGCCTTTCTGGGATCTGGATATCAATATAAATATTAAGTAGCTGCCCTCCTAAGACATAGCCAATAGCAGGACCCAGCAGTGACATGGCATACCCAATTCCTAGAAGAGAAAATACATCAAATTCACCATACGTTTTTAAAGCTTTCTTTTTAAAGATATAAGTCAACTGCAGACCAAACGGTTTCTGTAATTCAACCTGTTCTTTCACTGACATTACTTTGACTATAGCCTGCAGAAAACAAAATCTGTCCTTGTCCCTCAACAAAGAAGTGTGCAGCTCTCACTAAAAGCTGCAACTCAGAGGTTCAGCAAAAGACACTTCACTGACAGTATCTTTATGCATTATCAGTTTGCCTTTTGCACATCTTGTGAAAAAGTTTTTGAAGTGAGGTTGCCACAAGCATCAGCTGCTAATTGTACGTGCTCACAATCTTTAAGAATCTACATATTTACATTTTTATTTTGAGTCTTAAGCTGGTTTTTAGATCTGCCAAGACCAGAAGCCAGGATTTTGCTAAAAATTTTGACTGGAATAATATCTGCCACTTGAGTTCATTGAGAACTAAGTCATATACATTTCCATTTATTGATATAAGCCTTAAAATACAAAGCCAGGGCTCTTAACAGCTCATGACAGTTCTAAAAAAAACAAACTACCAAGCACACAAAGTCACAGGTGTATTCATATCCTACTAAAGAACACTCTTAGGTCTACTTTTTTATTTTTTGGCCTTAGGACAAGATTTGCTCAATGTCACAGTAACCTCCCTGGCTTACCAGACAGATTTCTGTGGCACTTTAGCACCGCTGGCAGGAGCACCGTCTCTGCAGATAAAGGCTTGCAAATAATAGTAACCAGATCTGTCTAAATAATTGGTAACGCATGCATCCTTATTGCTGATATTCTGTGCTTTTCCCCAGGTTGAAGAATCTGGATTTCTCATTTGTTTCCAAAGTGCCTGGATCCTGAGTATCTAGTATTATTTCAACTAGACAGCAAGAATGAATGATTTGGCAGGGGTGGGGAGAAGGGTACAAGATGGGGCAAGAGACTCAGAAGGAGACACTCAAGTAAGTCAACATAAATATTGAGTTGACATATGCCAGGTTTTCCTGTTTTCTGGAAAAAATTACATGCTCATAGGATCTTTGAGTTAAGTCCTTGTTCGTTCTACAGGACTTTAAACCCTAGCTTGCAAGGGGCCTATTTCCTCCTACAGACCATTCAGTTTAAACCACCATTTGGAATTGCTTAACTTTTTATTGGCTTTAGATTTAGATGCCTCAGTTCAGTAAAAGAACAGTCCTAATGACAACACACCCAGGTTCAGAAGAGAAAGAAACTACCACCTTATAGGTTGCAAGCTTATAGTCTAAGATACTAGCAGCTATTTACAGACAATGGTAGAAAGTTTTAGGGGTTTTTTTGCTGCCTTGCACAAGTCTTCTTGCATTAGGCAAAGCAACATATTTTAAATCCTCAATACATTGCATAAAAGCAAGAAAAAGAATTAAAGTTTAACATATTGCTACCTGTCCACTCATTTGCCTTCTAGTTTTGTTATATTAGGCAGAAGACACTGTTCTTCTGAACTCAGCAGTTGTCTGAAGATTGCACAAGCACTTATTTCTTGTATCGGTCTTATGTTTTCATAAGTATGAACACTGACACCATCCTCCTGAGCTTCCAGGTCACTTCTTGATCTCCTAATCATGCAGACAGCCCTAATTCTGCTCTATATATGTCACTGGCCTCAAAAAGTGTAATAATATTATCTCTCTGTATAAAGGAAAAGTAAAAATAAAAGCTGTCTCTGTAATTTAAAACTGAACATATGCAACTATTCTATTTGTTGGCATCAAATTAAGCATTTTGCCTGGAACAATTCAGCATGAATTGTATGCAAAGAGATGATGATTTCAATTTTGCTCCCTAAAATATTAGTCTGTAAAACAGTCCAGGAACCTAAGATGCTTTAAATTTCTCCTGTGAGTTACCTGTTTAGCTAACATACTTTTATCAGCTTACACCTAAAATGGGGAAAATAGCAAATATCTTCACACCCATAGAAAACATTTTTGGCAGTAAAAATGCACATAACCCAGGGAATATTGACTGGAAAGATTAAAAACACTGCTAAAAATTAGTATTCCTTAGCTTTCAAACAGCCTCACAGCAAGACAAACACATTAACCATGTTTCTAGGCAATCCCTTTACTTTCAATTAAGAAAGATACTTCCTCCTGAAGTGCCAAATTTGTATGTGGCTAGTGAACTGCATTGATCACATGATGCACAGGAATGTCCCTGCACTGAGAGGACAGCCTACTGTTAGAAGGTAAATAAATAAAACTGTTAAAGGATACAGGAAGATGTAGCTACTGATCTGACATACAGTAATTTTCAATACCTGTGAAATTTTTGCTACAACTTATTCAATTAATAGGCAGCCTACATTAACCACTTAATCACCTTCAGTTACTGACATGAAAACACACCAGGAGAGGTGCACAAAGTAGCTTTACCATGCAAAATAGCTAAAGACTTGACACTTGTAGCAAACTAATACCTAACTTGCACAGTAACTTATCTTGAAACACTTTATGCACATAAGTAAACAAAATTGATTTAATTAAGAGGGATTCATAAAAGCATTTTTAAGGCATTGTAGTCTACGATCTATCCAGACAATGTGTTACAAACAGTTTGAAAAGTTACCTATATAAAGCGAAGACTTGTGTTTTGGGACACTATCATCAATAAAAGCTGTCCCCAAAGTATATAGTGGAGTTCCTCCAACTCCCAGAAGCAGCTGTCCCAGAATAAAGACATATAGATAGTTGTGAAGTGAAGACTTTGTGCTGGCACTGCAAGTGAAGTTAACAGAGCTTGTTCCTGGAATTTGGCACGTGTCTGAAAGACAAAGACAACAAGACTTTAAAATTCTGTTATCCAGCTCATCACAGTGAAAATGAAGAAAAGCCTGTACTGAAAGCTAAACTACATACAAAGTGCTGTTAGTGCCAGGCTCCCATTTTAATTTTCATGTCTACTAATACATCTTATGACAGTGCCCTAACCTTCTGTGATGCATCCCCCAAAAGAAATACTATCATGGCTTGTTTTTTGTTTCCTTACCAGGAAGGAAAGATGGATGAAATTGATGGATGAAATGTCTGGCTTGTTGAAAGCATTATTGACCAGATGTATGCAAAAATCTGTCAAATGGTCATTCAACAGGTTAGTGAACACTCATAGGGAACAGACACCTCATTTTGTTCTTGTACATTGTAATGATTCTGAGGAGCACTAACAACAGCTTCCATTCTTAAGTGACAGAGCAGCCTGAACAATCTGAGGGCTCCTGGAGAGGAAAGTGCAGTCATCAGTCACAAGTAAAGATAATCCTTCCCTCTCATACACTTTTCAAGAGCATTTCCTTAAAATAAAAACCACACAAAAACACAAAAAAAACCCCACACCAACACTTCAAAAAAACACACCACTGTCTCTCAGACCAAACACTGTCATATCTCCAGAATGAGAAATTAATGTAAAGCCCCAGTACTTGTCCACAAACAAAGAGAAGAACAGAGGAGGAACAGCCTAAGGTTGTGCCTGCTCCTGTCATGTTTGGCAGTATGAGCAGGGAAAAGAGGAAGTGAAGACAGGGACTATCTTTTCTCTTCTCCTTCCTCCTGCTATCACTGCACTTTTAGTAGGAGACAGTCCCAAGTGACAAAGTCAAGAAGAGGACCGTGGTTACTTCCAGATTTTTCCACAAAAAAAGCATACAACCCTAAGGAAGAAAGGGAAGGCAGAAAGTTCAGTGGAAACAAGCCAGACTGAGCAAATACATGAAAGCATGCTTCAGATCAAATGAATAGACTGATTAATTCTCAATACCTTGCTACAAAGTTACATTGTTTTTCTCAGGTCCTTTATACATTCAAGAACACTTTTTACTTAAGAAAATAAACGGCAAGCTTGTCCACACTTTGGGCTCACAGGACATAAATCACAAGGAAGTACTTGCCACACAGCAGATATTTAAAGAGAACGGTCTACATTAATGTTACCATAAATGCAACCACAGGTTTCATCATGCCTTTCTCCAGAAGGAACAGCACCATAGCAGTGATGGAGTCATATAGCACACAACAGCTGATTCAGTGCAGTCACACAGAAACTGGCCAATGTAGAGTGACAGGAAAACCTCACTTCAAGAGAAGGAGTCATTAAAATTCTCCTTCCTTTCCACTTAGGAAGAATCCTCATTTTAATGCTACACTGAAGCCACATGGGGAACATTTTATTATAAATCACTACACTGAAAATTAAAGTTTTTAGAGTATATTTTTCATTTATTCTCAATCTGCTTTCCTTAGCAATATTCCTCTTTTCTGCAGGAAATTAAGTCTTAAATCAGGCGTCGTGGTTTTTGGACTGAGGGTCGAGACAAGAACAGAGAGGGAGCACCCACCAACCACGGTCCCGGGCAAAACATGACTCAGGCTTTCTTCATAAAACAAAACAATTTATTAACAGTTACTTAACAAGAGACACAGGGAACAAAACCGGTTACTTGAGAGGAGAAAGAGAAAACAAGGCCAGATCTTAAAACACCATCCCACCCCCTATTTCCTTTCGTTCCTGGCTCTACCCCCCCCCGGTGGCGCAGGGGGACAGGGAATGGGGAGTGCAGGTCAGTTCATCCATGTTAACTGCCGCTCCTTACTTAAAGGAGGAGGAGTCCTTACACTATTTTTCCCTTGCTTCGGTGGATCCCCTACTTACGAGGAAAAAATCCCCAAACTTTTCCAGCATAAGTCCTGCGCGCAGGATTGCAATCCTTCCCC